CAAAGAGATTGTGTCAGCCCAAAGAAAGGACAATTATGAAATTTCCCCATCTTTTCAAAGAATCGTCATCTTGGGTAACTGATGGTCAAGGGTGCATCAAGAAAGGCTGGGATCTTACAGACCAGCTAAAATGTAGGAATATGGAGAAAGGAAAGAGAGCCAGAACCTCTGGGCTATCTGAGTGCTCTGGTGCTTTTAAGACCAGACTCAGCTTCCTGAGGGACTATCAAACCAAGCAGAGTGAGAGAGGAGAACTTCAAGAATAATGGCAGTGAGACACCATTGCTGTTGTGACTTGTTTAACAAAAGCCCTGGATGATCTGAATTTCCAGGTGGCCCAGGCCTATGTGAACCAGAGGAAGCTGGGCCATGAGATGAAGATGCCTCAGGTCCAAGCTGCTCAGGCTGCCAAGCCAACAAGCCAGTGGATCAGCATGGTAGAAAACTTCAGTCAGGCTCCGAAGAAAATTGGTGGTGGGGAGAACTGGGCAGGTAGCATTGAGATGGATATGCTGACCCTTGCCACTGCCCTGGAATGTGTTTACAATGGCCAGCTACAGCTTTCCACCTCCTGATACAGAAGTCTGGCTTTCAGTCTTGGTAACCAGAATTGCTTGGATTCATTCTGTCATTCTGTGTTGCCAGCGGAACACAACAGAGTGGCAAATTCATTGCTTGCAAGCCCTTCCTAAGCTTCTGTGGGTGTTCTTTTGCAGCTGTGAATGAGCTCTTCCCCTCTCTCCCCTGCCCACCTGGATGGTGTAAGAGGTGCCGTTAGGCTTTTGGCTTTGACTTAGTCTGTGTGGGTGGATTCTAGCTGTGAGGAATCATGAAACAGACTGGCATGGGATAGCATGCACACCAGAATGAAATGAAGAAAGCTTTTTCATACCAGTTGGATTGATCTGTGCTGTGGAATTTTCACCAGGGGACTCTGGATCTGTGGAGAAATTTATGTCTAACATAAATGCATTTGTACCCTTTTGTCATGGTAGAATCCATGCATCCAAAGTTTCCAATGGGTCATATGTATCCAGTTCATTTATTGAAAAGTCCTCAGCATTCTCTCCTTTATTTGATATGAAATTAGGTCAGATAGCAACTGATTTTTATCCTGATTTCAATCTCAGGAATTGCAAGTACAGTGCAAACAATGTTCTTTTTCTTTGACTATCTACATATTCATCTCTTATTGGGAATCAGAGTTAAATGGATCTAGATGAGCCTTCCTCAATCTGGTGACTTCCAGGTGTCTTTGGTTACTTGTGGAACTGTTTCTCCCCAGTTGCACCTACCCGTTCTGTGGGATCCAGAAGGAGAGGCATGCTCTGGGTCCTGTCTGTTAGGGAGTATCATCTGGTAGGTCCCCAAAGGAGAACCTTTTCTGTTGTGGTGCCTGCCCTCTGGAATATAATTTCTCCAGGAATCAGACTGACCCCCACCCTACTGGCATTCTGTAAGGCCTTAAAAACCTGGCTTTGTTGCTGAGCCTGGAGACCAGGGTATGTCGTTGAGCCCATATCTTGGCTGTGTTGATTGTATTGCTAGTTTTATGTCAGCTGCTATATTTGTTCTTTATTGTTTTTATAATGATTTTATCTTTTATCTGTTTTATTCTCTGTTAACTGCCCAGAGTCATATGCTTGAGATGGGCACCCATATAAATTGAATAAATAAATAAACTTCTGTTTTTCAGGCATTGGCATCTTTAGCTGGGGATTCTGGGGGTTATAGTCCAAACACAACTTGATCTAGAACTAGTGACTTGGGAAAACCTGGTTTTGAGGGGAAACATTCATAAGTATCTCCAGTTCAACTTATTTGGCTGTTATGATAGAACCACAATGATGAAAAGAAGCATGAGATTCTATGTTTCAGTCTAAATAATAGTTATGTCATTCCTAGATCCAATCAGTGGCTACTTGTAATGATGGCTATACACAATCTTTATGTTCAGAGGATTGCCATATTTACCTAAAAGGAAGATGATCTTGAATTTAAATCTAGACAAAAGATGAGACAGAAGACAGTTGTCTGCCTCCATTACATATTAGTAGAGAATCTAAGATGTAAAGGTAAACTCATATTCTTTTCTTGTAAGTACCATTGAACATTATTGGTTGGAAACAAGATTAGGAGTCAATCTATTGCTGTTATTCTTTTGCTCTGTATTCTTTTTTGTGGCCTGCAGCTGAGCATTGGAGAAACTGGAGGTTGGATTAAATGGACCATTAATGTGATCCATCATGATTTTTCTTATAACTGATCTGCCATTTCCCTATGCTTGTGCATTTTCCTGATTTTTATCCCCATAATTGCTCATTTTTATATCTAGAAACTTCTTCAATTTTAATTTTATTCATAAAAGATAATAAATTCACTCAGTCATTTTAAACTCACATCACCAGTTTCTTTCTGCTTTCCTTCTTTCCAACTAATATAGTAATCCCATTTCTTGAATAATGTAAGTATGTATGACTTAACATTCATGAACTGGAAAACTTCTTAATTATGAAAATACTTTGGCACTAGCCTTTCTTAGAAATTCACAATACTGCAAAGCAATCCATAGGTATCATTACCCTCTCTTCATCTCAATAATAATATAGCATTAATTGAGTATATTTTAAGATCTTTGTGTTTACATACTGTAGGTGAAATTCAGCAGTCTGAGGAGTGTTGCTAAATTATCTGAATTTGTCAGCAAATAAATTATCTCTACATTTGTCTGAGGAATGTTTGCTTAGTAAACAGAAGGGGGGGAGAGAGGGAATCACTTTTAATTATGGCATAGCTTGAAATAATTGAGATAAGGAAGGTAGATGGAGCTTGTTGATTTTATTTTCTGGAGGACTGTGGAAAAATGTCCTCCAGCATCAATCTAACCAGAGTCCAGACCATTGGTGTTTCCCTGAGGCACTGTGACTTTGAAATCTCCTAGCAACAGTCTGCCTAAAGGTTAGTTCCAAGTTCACATATATTCCTCCAGAAGGTGATACTTAGAAAAGGATGTGATGGAACTGTTTATTTTCCCTCCCAATCCTTCCTTTCCTCGATTCCTCTCCATCTTCTTGACAGCATCACCACCCATCCTGTCAATCAGGCACAAAGCCAGTTTGATGTCTCCCACTTATTTTAATTTATATTCAATCCATTGCCAAATTATGCCATTCCTCTCTATTCAGCACTGTGAAATCCATCCCTGGCCTCAACTAAAACAAAACAAAACCTAGCTTATGCCCCTTCACTAGTGTAATCTTCTAATCATTGACTTTCCCTTGTTGTACTTCTGCATGGAACTCTGCCACCAAAATTATTTAATTTACTGATTGTATAATCCTAGACTGGAAAGTTTGTGGGGTCTCCAAAATGTTGCTGAGCTATAATTCCCAGCAACACCAGCCAGCATGGCCGTTAATAAACAATGATGAGAGTTGGACTTCAGTAACTTTTGGAGGGTAGCATGCTTCCCATCCTTTATATAGACCATGATATTCCTCTGTAAGTTGATTTACTACCTTCTCCTGTGTCTAGCACAGTCTCCTTGCTCTTACCTTTAAAATTGTGCCTCTCCTTTTCCTCTCTGTCAGATTTTATCACAGCTTTGCCAGTGTAACAAAAGTGCCAGTACCATTTTCCCTTCACCCAGTTCTACTATTACTATCACAGCTACTATTATTATTTCTATCCCTCTTTTAGGGTTATGACAAAGATATTTATAATTTTATTTTTTTTTAATCTGCGCTCAGTTGTTACCAACTCTGCAGTGACTGCTTTGGACGAGTCCTTTGCAGTTTTCAAGGCAAGGTGTTTCAGAAGTGGTTTGCCAGTGCCTCCTTCTCTTTTAGGGTTATGACAAAGATATTTATAATTTTATTTTTTTTTAATCTGCGCTCAGTTGTTACCAACTCTGCAGTGACTGCTTTGGACGAGTCCTTTGCAGTTTTCAAGGCAAGGTGTTTCAGAAGTGGTTTGCCAGTGCCTCCTTCCTAGAACAGAGCCCAGCTGGCGAGCGCAGGAGGTGGGGTTTCTGTTGCTTCGCGCCCTTTTCGGGCGAGCGCGGTTTCACACTTACTGGCAACTGCTCCTGACTCCTTTTGCAAGGCGCCGCCAGCATTTTTCCTCCCACCGGAGTGAGAGTACCCATTTATCTACTCACATGAGTTTTCGAACTGTTGGGTTGACAGGCACAAACCAACTAAAACCCTCCAAAACATCCTAAGTAAACCAAAAGACCCAGTAGCCCAAGAAGAAAAAAA